TAGCGAATATAATTTTGTCGCAGAAGCAATTTCACGGTGACTACATCGTTTTTCTCCGTTCTTCCTGTCGCAGTGGTGTAAACCACACCCGAACTTCATGTTAAGCTTACAAAAATGTGTCTTTGTTTTACGCGTGTGCTGCCTTTAAGCGACACTGGAGAGTCTTCCTTTTTGTCACGTTGGAAGCAGTATTACGTGTATCATTAACCTAGGTGAGTAGCGGAAAACAACATTAACAACACGTCCGAGAAATCACACAGCTACTTCTTCAGTAACGAATTTCTCCTCCAGGAATAGCATTTATACAGACAGTTTTGAGCATAAGTTATCCATCAAGAATTCAAAACGCATTCTGAGCTTGGGTGATGCTTGGAAGTCTTTCCTGCCAACCATAAGTACATAGTCCTCGTCGAGGACTCTGAACCCACGTACGCCGGTCTACGGACCTACGTGCCGGCGCCTCACCAGTGCATGGTCGATCGATAGTGCAGACGCGCATTGCAGAGGTCCGTAGCGCGCGCGGACTCAGAGTCCGCGACAAGCACTTTAGGTTTTTTTTAAATCGATCAGATATGTTAAGTCAGCGGCGAAATTGGCTAGGACATGGGAAAATACTGGGCGTTTTCGTCTTAAATATATGAAAAGGCGGGAGAAGATGCGCAACTATGCTATGTTATACCAGCTGGTGCCGAAGTTTCGGAGAAAACCACTATATTCATTTGTAAAGCTGAAACCCTGCTTTGCTTACTATACAACACATTCAGCATTGTGAAATGTCTTTATAAGCGTAACAATTGAGTCATTCGCCCATTCTTTTCCTTACTATTGTGTCTTAAGACTAGCCTCTAGATAGTACTTTTGAATTTCTTTTCTTTCAATTGCATTCACTATGTCTTTGCTAAAGTATCTAGATCTGCCCACTCGAGATCAGCAGGATATCATCTACAGGTGGATAGTATTTCTAAAGTTTTTTTTGTGTTCTGAACCAGCAGCACAAAGTATCTTTCCCACAGCTATTTTATACTTTCATCTTCCCGTTTATTTACTGGGTTACTGCTTACTGAAAGTCTTTGAAGCAAAAACGCATCTACTCTTCGCATCTGCACCATATCCTGTAAGATTTGTAAAACAACACAAGGTCAAATTTTTGTATGACCTGAGGCAGCAGACGTATACAGATTTTGGCATTCCTGACGTCACTGGAAGAACGTATTCCAAAAATCACCTTGAAACATCCAACTTGAAAATCTCGCTAAAGGGATAGTGATATCCTCTCCAAGAAAGTGCTTAGGCAAGACGCCGTCGCACATGTTCCCCTGCACACAATTTTCTAGATCGTGGTAAACGCAAGCTACTTAACTAGTAGACCTTCGCTGGATAAAGGATTGAACGATTATTCTGGAAACATTTGCTTATCGCTGAGAAAACGGGAGAAAACTCCCACCTGCAATCACCTCTTGCTGCCCTCCCGGATACCCCGAGAAGGCGGTCCAAAAATTAAGGTTTATGACGCAACCCTAAGGTAGGTCAGACACCCTTAGTACCTTGTGATACTGGGTTATAACCAAATCAGAAACGCAGGTGCAGCGCTGGCCACACAGCAGTGCCGTACACCTTACGGTGCACCTTTTGCGTTCAGCGTTGGAGAAAGCGCAGGCAGCAGTTTTGCGCCTTGCTGTCCCATATTTCGATTATGGTGAAGAAATTAAGCGAATAGTTAGTCTCAAAATTAATGTTAAAACAAACATCATATCATTGAAGCCCTTAAGCACTTTGTTAAAGCGTTAAGGCGCTTACTGGTGCAAATTTTCAGTGTTTCAGATATGTAGAATAAATTAACCCAAAACGGTTTTGGAGGGTTTTGAGCAAGTAATCTGCGCAATCCATTTCGATTAAGGAAGGTTCTTTAAACATTCTAACGACAGCAAAGAAAATATTAATAGTTCCCTTTAACAGCTAAAAAGGAGTAATTAAACTACATTAAACTAAACGATAGAGCTCAATATTCTGTTGAAGAATCCATCTCTAACGAAAGTTTTAATGTTGAAACCTGCAAATTTCGTTAATTCTGAAGCCGATCGGCCCTCAGACTAGACTCTGCAAGACAAGTGTTCTAGCGTCAAAGTTCAACCATCTCAAAACAACAAATTTCAGGAGAATTAGAAAAAAGAGCTTTTTCATGAGTGCTGCCTACATTAGTAAGGTAGTTCTCAGTAACAGTTGATTGTTAAAGGGTTGGTTACTGGTTTCGGCAACACGTTCTCCGAAGAGTAATGTGGAATAGAACTAGGCTACACCGTAGGCATCGTAGTTGTTTTGGAAAGCAGTACCTTCCAGCATCTTTTGCCAGCAATAGGAATAGTTACGCCATTACTTGAAAGAATCAGTATGTGGAAAGATTCTGATAATCAAAGAAAGTACTTTCAAAGTGTCAATTTTACAATACCGAATATGTCTGTATTTCTACAAAATATCGTTTGAATGTGGCGCCACACTGTCGTTCTTAGAAATTTTTCATATTCATCCCTTTGCAACAATCTTCTGCTGAGCAGGGTTACCTAGATGGAGTAATTAGGTTCTTGAATAACACCGCGTCAAGAAGGATGCTTTTGAAGTACCATTTCAGAAAGCTGTCCTAAATTTTTGCCATAGATAATTTCCACCTGATCATGGTCAACCAGTTTTTCTGGAATTAATTGACCTAAACCTTTATGATATCAAAATTTTCACTAATAGACACACTTTGCTTTAATGCTGGAGTAAAGTGGCTCTCTATGAAATCTGCTTTAAGATTAATTTCGTGCTCAGTTGCTACACTATAGTCGAAATTTGCGGATAGCAGAATGAAGAATCGCCTCCTGAACTTTCGCCAACGTTGAGCGCGAAAGGTGACCCGCAGATTATACGGCGCTCCCATGCGGCGCGCGGTGCTCCCACGACAGTGGTTCGGTTTTAACCCAGTATCACAAGGTACTAAGGGTGTCTGACCTACCTTAGGGTTGTGTCACAAACCTTAATTTTTGGATCGCCTTCTCGGGGTATCCGGGAGGGCAACAAGAATAAGACACGTTTGTAGTCTGTCAATATTAGCGACCTTGGAAAAATTTCCCGCAGTATTCTCGGATAAAACATGAGCATATCTCCTTAGACCCAACAAATGTCTCTAAATCCTTTAATTTGTAAGAGAGCCTACTATTAAACTGTAGATTTGCTAAGGGATTTTGCGCGGGATCGTTCAATCGATTTTTGGAAGTTATAGCTAAGAATAGAAGGGCTGTGGGATGGCTGTAGAAGACCATACTTCCGATATCCGTACTATGATAGCAGGAACCGTTGCCTTTAGATGCGACTGTACAGGACGTGACAAAAGTTCTGGTACACTTTTCGTTGAGGCCATATCTCAGTTCATTCAGTTTATCCAGACTGTGACATGGCTTTGCGAAGTACTTATTTTAGTGCTGTTGCGACATATATTACAAAGGACACAAGCACCGTTTCCTTTTTTTAAAATTTGCAACTATAGCAGAGCAACAGCAGTTTTTTCAATATTTCGACAAGATACCAGTAATGTTGAATTCAAACTTTCCAAGGAGACGAAGCCTTCCTGGGTATGTGGTAGCCTTGAGTACTATATTTTCGACCAGCCGAGAAAAAATTGCGAGTGAATAAAGTTTTCATCAATTTGTTTAGATAATTTGTGAACGAAAATCGAGCAAATTCGTTTGGAAATTTTTGTTGAATGAATAAAGTTTGAACGATAGGTAGTTGAATTTCTTATGAGTATAATGTCATCTGTGTGTGAGTTCGGACTATTCAATTGTTCCTCACATGATAAACACAGATTTTCGAGTTTGAAATGTACTTCATTTTTTAAAACACTTAGCATTCGAGCGCTGATTTTATTCGAAATCAAATTTTTGCAGTCGAAGACATCGAGCAACCGAACTCGGATATTAAACTCTACGTTGCTCCCTTCGATTCCATTTATTTATTCAGTCTAACAACTCCTCCACTGGACTATTCTAATCATATTTTAAAAAAACCGAATTATTTGGTCCATCTTTGCTTATTTTGCCATTTGTCCAGATTTTCGAATAATTTCAATGTGTAAACACCGACTCCCCTCAAAAAGAGAAGAAGTTTTGAAACGAGAGCCTTACCCACCAACTTTATTGGGCATGACAAAAAAATTCTGCATTGAATTTTCAGGGACTGCAGCTTTTTGCACAGTCGTATCGACAGAGTCATTTTCCAATTAATTTCTTTTGGAGCTTAGCAGATGTTTAGCGGCAACAAAGCTAGCTATTTAGACTAGCAACATTTTACCTATTCATTTCAGCTTACAAGAATTTTCCAGTCCAGACTAATTCCGTACGACCCTTTTCTGACGTCATTTTACAAAAAGTTTAGGCTGGGCAATTTGAAGAAACCTGTAGCATAATTAGAGGCCCTAACAGTGCGTCAATGTTCTGTTCGTAGACGACCGCCTCGATTTCTTGCATTTTCCCTCTCTCCCACACCTGGTTCTTCCCTCAAGTTTCCCAATAAGTTTCCAGAAATCGCTGCTAGCAATATGGCTTTAGCTTCTGGAATTGTTGGAGCTGGAAATGAAAAATCTCAACTTCTTTTCGGCTTTGCTAGGAAGTGCTTCATGAATTTTTCCCTCATGGTCATTGTTGACCATCACCATCTTAAAGCAGGATTAGCAGTTTGCTTGCACATCAGCACTGAGCCCAGAAAAACACACACTGTCATGCAGAGTATATAACATGAGAAAGCTGAGACGCATATAGCTGTTCCACTTGCTGACAGCAAATTTTCTCTTTCCTATGTGCACTTCCTAAAATATTCCATTTCAGGATGATTTCCTTCCTCTTGCTTGCTATAATTGCTCAGCTTAGTAATACTGGAGCAGATGATTCGAAGCAGTCCGTTAACGTGCAGGGCAGGCTGGTCTGCAACGGTACAGCCTATTCAGATGCCAGGGTAATTCTGTTTAATACCAAAGTGGGTGAGTAACCTGTACTTGGTTTGAGTCGAGTTGTA